TCATCCCATGCTCCCCCTCCCTACCCCACTATGAGTCAGTCACCTTATATCAGAGAAAATATTCAGCATTTGCATTTTAGGGATTGGCTAATTTCACTTAGCATTATCTTCTCCAACTCCATCCAATTACCTGCAAATGCCATGATTTTATTCTCCTTTATTGCTGAGTAATATTCCATCGTGTATATATATGCCACATTTTTTTATCCATTCATCTACTGAAGGGCATCTAGGTTGGTTCCACGGTTTAGCTATTTTGAATTGTGCTGCTATAAACATTGATGTGGCTGTGTCCCTGTAGTATGCTGTTTTAAGTCCTTTGGGTATAGACCAAGGAGAGGGATAGCTGAGTCAAATGGTGGTTCCATCCCTAGTTTTCCAAGGAATCTCCATACTGCTTTCCATATTGGCTGTATCAATTTGCAGTCCCACCAGCAATGTATGAGTGTGCCTTTTCCTCCACATCCTCGCCAACACTTATTGTTGTTTGTACTCATAATAGCTGCCATTCTGACTGGAGTGAGATGATATCTTAGAGTAGTTTTGATTTGCATTTCACTAATTGCTAGAGATGATGAACATTTTTTCATATATTTGTTTATTTATTATATTTCCTCTTCTGAGAACTGTCTGTTCAGGTCCTTGACCCATTTATTAATTGGGTTATTTGTTTCTTTGGTGCTTAGCTTTTTCTAATCCCCCTTCTACTAAACTGCTATGACAGCTATACAGAAGAGTCATCTGGCACATCTTATATGCCATCTTATGAAGTTAAGCGGGGCTTGCTCTTTGTGTTGCTGTCTCATCTCCCCAAACACAATATAAGGTATTCAGGATGTTTTGTGTCTTTGAATCTCCCCAATGTTGTTGTTTGTGTGTTTATTTGCAGTACTGGAGATTGAACCCAAGGCCTCACACAGACTAATTAAGTGCTCTACCACTGAGCTATACACCCCCAGATCTTTTTATTTTGTTTTTTTGAGACAGGGTCTTGCTAAGTTGCCCAGGTTGTCTTCAAACTTGTGATCCTCTGCTTCAGCCTCCTGAGTAGCTTAGATAGGAATGTGCCACTGTGCCTGCTGAATCCCCCCTCAATTTTAAACAAAGTAACATGAGTTACAATATAAGCCCTTCATGGTAGGGGCTTTATCTGGTTTGTTTTCTAAAGGTAGCTCCTAGAATCCTGCTTTGACACAAAGCATATACTCAATAAACAATTACTGAATGAAAGAATAATCATATTAATACTGTGTGTTTAAAAGACATTTGTTCAATTGAATAGTACTATTAAGATAATCTTAGCTATAACTATGCTTTTGATTAATTTTTCAATAGCTGTGTGATTTTTATCAATGACCCAAATCTATGACTCTGTAGCATTGTCCTAAGATACATGAAGAACTTCCCTGCCCTGCCCCCAACATGAACTAGAATCAGTTTACATTCCCTAGGAATCCATGCTTTACCAAATACTCCACTTCCCAATATTTGCAGAATTACTTTTATTACACCTGCTTTTAATCTGAGCATGGCTTTCTCTATAAAATGGTTAATCTTGCCAAAGACCAGGATTGTTGTTTTATTCCATCTCTATCAGTTCACACAGTGGTACAGCCAAGCAGGCCTCCTCTAGCAGTGGTGAGGACCAAGGTAAATTCAGCTCATTGGCTTTAGGGTACATGCTGGTTGGGGGTATAGTAAACACATCACTTTGTGTCAAGATCATCCACTCTCAGATGATTGCTCAAAGGAGTTTTCCCCAGCTCTGAAAATCCCCTTGTCTTATATTTCTCCTTTTAAATCTCATCATTTAAGGTGAGACTTCCCACTATCATGAATCCCTTCATTTTGCCCTGTTCTATATTTGGTGAAGTCTAATAGTTTACCTTGCTTTCTCCTGTTTGTTTTTCTACAAAATATCAAAATTCTCTAGCAATAGAAGCCCTGTGATAGGTTTCCTTCCTATGCTGCAGGGAAATATCCAGCAAGGGACTCCTCCTGCAAACCTCTTTCCTGAACTCCCATTATTATCAAGAGGGACTAACAGTTCTTTTATTCTGGTTTTTGGTTGGCAACTGATGGCAGCACCAAGTATTATTTAGGTAAATTACCAATGTCTTCTGTGTTTACTTTCGAGAGGGACTCTCATACCACCTCAGTGAACTGAGCTCCAAGAAGTGACAGCTGCAAGGCCATAAGAGTATGTGTTCACGATGAACTCAGATTGTCAGCTGCGTTACAGGCAGTGCTCTCTGATTCACTGAGTTTTTGGTGCATGAGAAAATAAGTTGGCTCCTGGTACAACAATTAGTAATGGGTGCAATTTTCTGGTGTTTATACTAAGGATTTGTGGAATTAAATTTCTAGTGGAAAGATCAGTCTGGGTATACATTGTCCAAATGAAGTCATTCTCTTTCCCGAACAATTTTTATTTTATCTCTCTTTAAAACAAAATGCTTCATGAGTTGGTTATTTGAACTAGGTAACAGAAAAATTAAGAACATTTTGAAGCAGAAACTTAATTGAAAACTGGATTTGGATTTGGTAGGTTTTTTTAAAAAAAGATCAGATATATTCAACTCTTGCATTTAACCTGTAGATGTTAGCTATATGATTAATATTTTGCCATACATCAGGTGACTCGAGTATGCAAAGGCAAACTTTTAAATCGGGCCCCCAATTCTCTCCTATTCTTGATTTTTCTATGTCCACCATCTCTTCCAGCCATTTAGATTCAAAGCCAAAGTCTACCTCCAACTCTCAATGGATTATGGTTTCTAATCATTTTCCAAATCTGGTGAATTCCACCATTCCATATCTCTTGTATGGAATATTAACATAACCATATAACTGAAGTTATATCCCACACCAATCCATTCTACCTAAATCCATTTAATGCTTTATTAGTACCTTGTGAGCTGCATACAAACTCCTAAAGCAAGTATTAAGTTGCTTTCCTAATTGAGCCAATGTACTTTTTCAGTCTTCCTTCTCATCACTATCTATAATTTGGCTTCAATAAGAGTTAAAACCATAAACTCTTAAGCCACACACCTCTGTTCTTAATGACCCTTTTCTCATTCTGTTTCCTCAACCTAAAAGTAGCCCTTCAAAAGCCACTTTCCCCACAAAATCTTCTCTAATCACTCTGACCAGATCTACATTCTCTCTTGAGTCTCCACAGAGGTACTTGGGCATCTCTTATCCTGCAATCCCTGTAGTTATTTATGAACTTTATGTCCCCCTCCACCCCACTATGTGGATACTTCATGAGAGTTGAGAACTTGTCTTACTCATGCCCAAGGTTCCTGCAGCACCTTGCACACAGAAAAAGGCTTAGGACATCCCCAAAACACAGAGCATCTCTATAAAAAAGATGCTATTGGTGGAGCTACAAATGTCATGGTATCCTTTATTGTACCCATTACATGAAAACCCAAGCAAATGTCTTTTAGCCTCAGAAGCTATCACTGAAGACTGCAGCAGCCCCTGTTAAAAACAACAGTCATCAGGCAATTTTTGACTATTGGTCCACACTACATATTTCATTGCCCCTAAAATGGTGAACAATCACTTCTGATATTCAACCTGTGGAGTTTTTTTTTGATGGATCTGTCATCTTGTTTCCCATTTGAAACAATGAAACCCTCAACTAAACTGCTTTAAACAAATAAGGACATATATTGTATAAAATCATGGGAAGTAGATGAGCTCTTCAAAACGGATGATTTAAGTAACAGTGCTATCTGTGGACTCACGGGATATTGCCATATTTCTGCTTTGCCATTCATAGATTCTACCCTATCACAAGGCTGTCCCTTTTGAATTTACTGCTAGTAACAATGGGAGACACAGCGAATCTACTCACATCTAATGGGAGAGAACAAAGGAGGCTTCTCTTCTAATTACAGAAGAAAAGTCTCTCCTTTCAGTCTTATTGGCCTGTTTAGTTCATCAGTCTAGCCCAGGATAAATAATTATGTCCAGGAAAACACCAGGCGTCAATTTGCTGACGCTTAGGTTTCTAGAATAATTTCTAAAATGAAGGTTTGAGTTTTCAAGGTTGGCTAAGACTAATTAAACCATTTGGAAGAGATATAAATTACTAAAAGTAATTTGACACTCTAAAATACATAAAAAGAAGCGATAGAATGGATGCTTATAGAATAAGTAATAATTATGAACTAGAATTACTATTCAAACAATGACTGACTTTTTAAATCAAGAAACTATAATTTTTTAGGTGTAAATTTTTTTAAAAGATTTGTACAACCACTGAGTGAGATTTTGTTACACCGAGATATCAGTGTTTACCTATGGAATCTTCCTCAAGGAAGAAATGAGACTTATTTAGTGTAGATTGAATTCTACGAAGTCAGGGACTGTGCTATTTCCCATACTTAGCAGAGGGTCTGGCAAAGGGGAGATACGTTTAAAAAATTTTTCTGTTTGGATAAATAGTATAAATTTCAGTAAATGATGCATACTTGTACTAGAACAGGGCATCACACTAAAGATGAATCCTGGGTAGCAGATTCATTTAACTATGGAAGATACCCAGGGAAAGGTTTTGCAGAAGGAAACTAACTCTGTAAAGAAAAAACAACTAACTGCTGCTGTGCTCCAGGTAAGGATGTTCAATAATCCCAGCAAACATCCACAATGACATTGTAGTTGAAGAAATATCACTCTGTTTTGTTTTTTAAAAAACATAGCACTCAAACCACTTCGTTATTATCCTTCTGTGAAAGCCAAGCATTTGATCCAGAGAAGTCCTGGGTCTCTCTGGCATCTGCAAGTGAAATATGTGTTCTCAGGAGGCCTCCCAACAGAAGCCAACACATTCCTACAAAGACATCTCAAAACACCACTGACCAACCAAACAAACTGTCCTCTCCTGGATTTCCCTGTAGTGGAGAGGTTAAGCCAAAGCGTCCCCCTGTGGGCCGCCATCTTTCTGCTGACTTTCTAGATAAATGTGGCCCAGCTGTTTCACTGACCTTCCAGGACACTGGAACTTCCCGCCTCCAAATGCCATGAAGCAGTCCAAGAAAGCATGCTTCTCTAAATTTGCCTTTTTCCAGCGTTCCTGTGGGAAGAAAACATTTTTTTTTTCCAAATCAGCCTTATATAAATAAGCTTAACTTTATGTCTCTAGGCTAAAAATGACCTTGTACAGCTAATCCTTGCATATAAAGTTGCAGGGTTGTTGGTAATTTTTTCCAACCTGTTATTAATATCAGACACAATTGTGGTTTTGGAACAGGAACTTATAAATAAAAAAGGTTGAAAAAGAATTCTGTTAAGTGGTAAATATAAATGATAACATAAATCAACCACAGAATGGACCTAAGGAGAAGTGTATTTATAATAAGGTCTTAGGCTCCATCATAAAATTGGTCTTTGTAATAAATTTAGTAATAAGACACCAACAACCCTGCCTATTAGAGAAAGCTGAGGACACAGAATGAATACATCTGGAGGCTAGTTTTGACAGTTTTACCTAAAGGCAGAGAATGAACTGAATGGCCTCCTAAGATTCTGTTCAGCCCTGTAACTCTCTAGTTATAAGAATTAGCAGATCACTGTTTTAATTTGCTTTTTATTTTGTTTATTCCTTGGAAACCAATAACACAAGCAATTTCCCCAAAAGTATGAAACAATTCGATTAGAACTGGGGGTATTTACTTTAACATGCCTCCTGTTTTCAGATTAAAAAAAATATTTTAAAGTATGGTATGCTTCTTCCTAAAGCTTTCCTATCTGATTTGTAAGTGCTACACTGTCTACTTTGCAAATATAATCTGTACTTTGAAGCCAACTTTGTTTATGTTTATAGTTAGTAGAGACATATAGCTATGTAAAAATATAGTTTAAGTTTATAACTTCCAACTCCTACCCCCCAAAAAATATTTTTTTAAATCAAAGAGTAATGTGTATGGAAAGAGAACTTACAGGTTTGAACAGTTCAGGTTCAGGAAAATACTTTGGGTTTCTGTGTAGCCAAAATGGAGACAACATCAATAGGTCACCAGAAGGAATAGTAAAATTCTATGATAAAAAAAAAAAAAAAATCGGTTCCAAATCATTTTTTAAAATTTCCTTTGAGGAGCATTTGGGTCTTTAAAAATAATGCTACAACTATATTGTAACAACAACAAACATTTCATAATTGATGGTGAGAAAATCTATCTTTTCTGGACAATTCCCTTCTACTATACAACTTGGCAATGACTGACTTCTATTTTGATTATTAGTTATACCTACATATATTTGATTACATAGAGGAAAATATTAGGTAAGTGTCAGAATTTTAGAAATGAGTATTAATCCATTCCAAAGCAGCTTTTGATGTTTGATGTTGGGGTTTGCAGCCAGTGTTCTTCATGGAAACCACAATGAATCTCTAGGTTGTGGTAAAAAAAAAAAATCTAACTCTTAAGACAGGGACCATGGTCACTGTAGCACTGAGGACAGAAGTAGTTGTGTCCTGTCCCTGAGAATACTGAAGATAGTGTAAGGGCAGGGGTCAGTGGATTATTTTATTTTTTAATTATTATTATTATTATTTCGATCCAACAGCAGTTATTGGGGCGGGAAGAAGTTAAGGACAACTGGTTAGGAAAACACAGGAAAAGTCAAGTGTTGTGCATTTATTTGGTGGGGTTTATATTTGGGGTTGCAGTACTCATGGGACTGGGAATAAACAAGCGTTTTCTGAAGCAGAAGAGTGGATGTCATCCTTTCCAATTCATGTGCTAATAAGTTTTCCTGATCTATAGATTATACACCCAGAACTAAAGCTATTTCATAGAATCTCCCTTTCCTCACCATTTGCGGGAACCACAAGACAAGATCCCCAAGTTGTGTGATCACTAGAAGGTGACCAACTTTACTGTAATGAAGTATTTTATGAGGTAATGCTCAGTCATCCTAAGCATGTCTGTTTAACTCTGCATGACTTTGAAATATTCTCACAATATCTGAAAAATACTTTGTGTATACAAATGATACACCTCACAATTTAAAATAGGTCTTTTTTATTGTAGCAGAGAGTTGCCAGAACCCCTGTCAACTCCTATGGGAGTTGAATATGTTGAGATTTGGCAAGTAAGAGGAGAGCTGGGGAGAATCAGCTCCCAAACTGGAAAGAGCAAGGCTTTAGCTGGGGTCTTCTAACCATTTTAAAAAGAAAAGGAGAACTCTGAGATTCCAGTCCTCAATGTTCATTTTATTTCTGCTGGAATTAAGGCTAGAGGGGTCATAATTACTTCTAAATCAGTTCTACAGGTACCTAATGTGTATGTGGGGGAGGAACTGGGGGCAGCTCAGGAAAAATTCTGTCCCTCCCCACCTCACCCCATGGTCCCCACTGTTGTGATTATCACTTGGAGACTGCTCACTGCTGCCACCCACAAATCTGGCTACAGAGTAAAGGGAGTAAAGGAGACTTCAAACAGGCCTCCAGGAACAAAATTAACATTAGCAAGAGGGAGGACACAAGAAAGAATCTTCCAGTATGATGATGAATAGCAGAAAAGAACATGTTAGCTGGTTGCATCATAGAAATCCTCTGAAAAGGCTAACAAATCTCAATCTTTGTTTACATAACAAATGAAGAGAAAGATGGAGAGGAAGACAGAACATTGGCAGGACCAGAATGTAGATCCCCAGTAAAGGGAAGTTAACATCACTCTGTGTCGCAATAACTGCATGGCACAGACTCACAGAATTGAACCTGGCCAGCCCACCTCACCTGGATGCTGTGAGGCCAAATGAGTTTCATCTGCTAATCTGGAGGCAGTCCTTGCTTGAAGAGGGAAGAGAAGGGAAGACTTCCTCTTGTAACTTAAGAAAGGGTATCAAGAGCTAAGTGGGTATAAGTGGGTGTAAGCAAAGTCGAGTCCTGAAGAGAAAGGAGTAGTCCTACAAAGGTAAAGGTGAAAGAAAGAGGAAGGGAGAGAGGGAGGAAGGAAGAAAGGAAGGAAGGAAAGAAGGAAGGGAATCTGAGAATTTATGAAAAGGGAGCAGTAATAACATAAAATATGTTTAAAGAGACTGTCATGAGAGAAAACAGATGAGCCAGTAAAATGAGGAGAACAAATTATAGATCAATCTTTCTCACAAAATTTGACCAGAAATCCTTAGACAAATATTAACAAAATAAATCCAACAATGCAGAAAAGGAATTATATACCATGATCAAATGAGATTTACTCTAGGTATGAAAGGTTGGTCTGACTTTCAAATATCAGCAAGTTTAATCCACTATATCAATAGGATAAAAAGAAAATACAACAATCAATCGATGCAGAAAAGTACTGGACAAAATTCAATCCATGGGGCTGGGGATGTGGCTCAAGCGGTAGCATGCTCGCCTGGCATGCGCGGGGCGCTGGGTTCGATCCACAGCACCACATAAGAATAAAATAAAGATGTTGTGTCCACCGAAAACTAAAAAATAAATATTAAAAAATTCTCTCTCTCTCTCTTTAAAAAAAAAATTCAATCCATGATGAAAGTTATCAGAAAAGTAGAGAAAAGCAAAATTTCTTCAATTTGATAAAGAGCATCTAAAAAAAAAAAAACCTTAAGCACAACTTTATATTAATGGTAAAAGATAAAACATTTTCAGGCCAGGGATATAGCTCAGTTGGTAGAGTCCTTGTCTTGCATGCACAAGGCCCTGGGTTTGAATCTCAGCATAAATAAATAAATAAATGCATGCTTTTCACTCTAGATCAGGAACACAGGAACAAAGTAATATCTGATGTTTCCACTAGTAGTCAACATAGTGCTGGAAGTTAGTGCCAGTGTAATAAAGCAAGAAAATAAAATAAAAGGCACACAGATAACAGAGAAAGAAACAAAAATATTGTCCACATTAAAAAATTCCTATAATCTATAAAAATACTCCTAGAGTCAATAAACAGTCAATAAATTATGTTTAGCAAAGTTGCAGATACAATGTCAACACACAAAAATCAAATGTAATTTCTATAATTAATATACAACTGAAAACCAAACTTTAAAAAATATCATTAAATAAAAGTTCCAAAATGAATGATATGTTTAAGTTATAAATATTTAAAAAAAAAAAACACCCACAGGATCTGTTTGCTTAAAGCAACAATTAAGAATACCTACTGACAGATGAATAACTAAGTTGTAATTACTAATTATTTACTAATCAAAATACAAATGTGTCTTAATACAAGTTCAATAAAGTTGTAGTACCATTCAGGGATTAACATATTGCTCTACTTAACTAAAACCAAGCAGAATATTTCCTTTCAAAGAATATTCTCACGCATAGTCACAACTTGAATCAATTAATAATTTGATTAATGAAAAACATGGAACTGTCCTGCTAAAACAAAAGTCTATAATTTATGTGAGACCAGTTAAACAAACTTTGTCTCCTTTGGAAGAAACACTCATTAACTATTATAAAATTTGAATTTTTATCTCTTTTGTGTTCTACTCCAAAATTCTCTTGGTTTGAATTCAAGCACTCATAAGCTATGTATTAACAAAAGTAAACAAGGGTGAAAGACTGAGTAAATGTGATCTCTAGAGAAAATGCAGGCCGTAAATCAAACCACTCTAAAATAAATTCATTCTGCCTGATTGATTCACAAATACGTAATGGAAAGTCTGCCAATGTACACATACCTTTTCATGGTGCACATGAGAATATTCCCCTGCTTTTCATAGAAAGCCCTTCTCTTCCTCACTCAGCTGTTGACTCCTAGTATCAACTGAGATTATCCATGACTTTCCTGCTATCTTTTACCATATCTGCAATCTGTGGCCTGAAATCATCTTCTAGTTATCCAAAAGAATTTTTTTTCACATTCTGAACTCCTCAACCCATTGTGGCTTGGGAACTAATTGGTTGAATTGGCAGAGAAGAGACCATCTGATCCACCTGCTTGATTTGAACAGGATGACACTGATTCTAACATAGGATCACGTGGTCAAAAAGATGAGCACAAGGTTATATTCTACATTAATGAAATGGTGCCTACAACTTATATTAGTAACCTGTCCCAGGGTCACTTAGTGCTTACTAGAATTTCAGGACTTGTATAATAATGTGTGCTATCAAAATTCCAATGACATTTTCCACAGAAACAGAAAAAATAATCCTAAAACTCACATGGAATCACAAAAGACCCTAAACAGCCAAATCTATCTTGACCAAGCTGGAGGCATTGTGCTGTGTGACTTCAAAATATACTACAAAGTGATACAACCATACAACCATGATCAAAACCTCACGGTTGGGGCTGGGGCTAGGGCTCAACAGTAGTGCACTTGCCTGCCATGTGTGAGGCACTGGGTTTGATTCTTAGTACTGCATATAAATAAATAAAGATCTATCAACAACTAAAAATAAAACTTTTTTTTTTTTTTTAAAATCATGGTACTGGCAGAAAAACAGACACACAGACCAATAGAACAGACACACAGACTAATGGAAGAGACACATAGACCAATGGAACAGAATACAGGGCCCAGGAATAAATACATGAATTTAAAGTCAACTGATTTTGATAGAGGTGCCAAGAATACACAATGGAGAAAGGATAGTCTCTTTAATAAATGGTGCTGTATGCAGAAGAAACATATCAGATCCTTATCTCACAAAATTTGCAAAAATCAACTCAAAATGGATTGAACTTAAGACCAAAATTGTAAAGCCAGTAAAATACAACATAGGGGGAAATCTCCCTGATAATTTTTTTGCATATGAACCCCAAAGCATGGGCAACAAAAGCAAAAACTGACAAATGAAATTACATTAAATTGAAAAGCTTCTGCACATCCAAGGAAACAATCTTTACCAAGTAAAGAGATACTATAGAATGAGAGAAAATATTTACACTTCATACTGAGAAGAGTTAATATCACAAATATATTAAGCACTCAATAAAAAGAAAAAAAACTGATTAAAAAAAGTCAAAGGATATAAATTGACATGTCTCAAAAGAAGTCATACTAGTGGCCAACAGGTATACAAAAAAATAGTCAACATTACTAATAATCAGGAAAATGCAAATCAAAGCCATAACAACACTTCATACCTGTCAGAATTTCTATTATCAAAAAGATAAGTGTTAGTGAAGATGTGGAGTAAAGAGAAGCCTTGCAAACTGTTGCTGGTTTGTAATGTAAATTAGTACAGCCATAATGGGAAAACAGTATGGAGATTTCTTAAAAACTTAAAACTACCATATAATCCAGCTGCCTCAGTACTTAGCATATTTTCAAAGAATATGAAATCTGTACACTAAAGAGATATCTGCACTCCCATGTTTACTTCAGCATTCTTTATAGTATCATGATATGGAATCAACCTGTGTCCATCAGCAGATAAACAGATAAAGAAAAATTCACACATACACACCAAGAAATACTATTCAGCCTTTTAAAAGAAGGAAATCCTGTCATTTGCAACAACGCAAATGAGCCTGGATGACATTATGTCAAATGATATACACAGAAACAGACAAACAAATACCACACACAGTGACACTTATAAAGTAGAATCTAAAGACGTTGGAACCAGAATAGAGGAAAGAATGAGAGTTACTGGGGCTGAGGGACCGAGAGGGACCTGAAGAAATGTTAGTCAAGTGATACAAAATTTCAGTTATATAGTAAAAATGAGTTCAAGATATCTATAGTGTAATATGTTGACTATAGTTAATAACAATGTATTGTATTCTTGAAAATTGCTAATAAAGACATGTTGAAAAATAATAAGTATGTGAGACAATATATATGTTAATTAGCTTGATTTAGGCATTCCACCTGTATGCAAACTACAAAATGTTCTATATGATAAGTATATCATATATATATATATACACACACACACACACACACACATATATATCCAAATATATATATTCAAATTTAATTCATCCTTTAAAAATAAGTTAAAATTAATCAATAATATATCAATTAAAAATAAAATATAGAAGCAAATAGGTACTTTTTTTTCCTAGAAGGTTGATCATTTTAAAACAAAAACCCCAAAGCTTACCAAAATTTTAATTGGCTTCATTACTTTTCTAGTAATAATACCAGGGGCTCTTAACCGAATGGTTTCCAAAATGCACCATTTAATGAGAAGGAGCTTCTTCAATTCTTTCTCAGTCACTTTAATCTTGTCTTTACCTGCAAAGAGAACTTCTTTAAAATGAAAAAAAAAAAAAGAGATAAGCTCAAGAGACTAGAAAGTGATTTTCTGTAAAGCACCTTAACAGAGGGTAAATGCTATCTCTGGCACGTAAAGTGTTACTGTTGCTATTACTTTCTGCCTCTTATTCTGTGACAGGATGTGTTGGTATCCACCTTGGCTCCCACGGTCTTATGATTATGAAATGACAGAGATAGCCCTTATCAGGAAGGGGTTCAGTTTTCCCTCATCTCATCCTTTCTCATCCAAATTGAGAATTCCTATTGTAACAACAATAAAATTGTGGCATCAAATGTACAACGAATAAGCCATAAAAAGCTACCTGGCTTTCTTTTTCTGTCTTTTCCCTGACAATTATTTTTTTTTAAATCATTCATTTCAAAAGATCCAAAAAGAACATTTAGAGAGGGACAGTGGTCTCTGGGACCTCATCTGGAACTGTGAGTGTGCCCTCTCAGGATGGGAGCTGTGACTTTCCTGAAGTACATGTGTACTTTAATATTTAGAAGAAGGAACCTGGAAAAGGATTAGAGGTCAATCTTTGTATGGTCAGGCTTCTCAGTCCAATTAGACAGCTTAGAGAGTGATATTTCAAGAAAAATATTTGCTTTTTGAAAATTACTTAAGACAACACAGCATTCAGTTGGTGTGGACAGTACTTGCTTAGTAAAAGTCAACAACATTGTCAATATAATTAAGCTGAACCATTCCTCTTTTCATTTCTACTTCTTGGCCATTTGGGGAGAGGGCGGGTGAGAGTGAGGTAAGGGATCTCCATCCGTGTCTCTTGGACTCTGCACATGCATGTGTCCTAATGCATAAATAGCTGTTGAAGAGCAACCACAAAAATAATACTAACTGAAAACCATCTTGATATGGCATGAAAAGAGAGTGGTAGCACAATCTTTACTTGCTTTCTACTTTTCTTGAACTATCTCTATGTTTCTTAAGGGACAGTTCAGGAAAATAATTTAGAGAGTCTATAGCTGAACTTAGCAATTCTTAAAATGACTTGAGATTCTGCATATGTAACAAATATCATTTCACAGTTGGTAACTTAATGGAGAACAAAGTATGTGTCATTTCAGGAAACCAGGAAATTTAGGTATCAGAAGGTCTTTACCATCAAAAAGACTGTAAATTAAAATTGAAGAAAGGACAAGTACTTTCTTTGAACAGTTAAATAGAAATTTAAAGGTTGTAATTGGTGGATTAGTTTATGAGTGACACACACAGAGTAGTGCCTAGCATGTAGTAAGTGCTCAATACAAAACATTGTTTGTAACTGCTACCGTTACTGTTAGTATGAATTTCGTGGTTCTATAGGATCCATACTTCCTAATATGGTTTTATTCCATAGCTGATACATTTTTTTTTCCTGAATCCTTTATTGGGAGAAAAATCTATAGATTGGAGGAACACACCTAATACTATTTTGACATCATGTATGAGGAACTATTTCAATTCCTCTGCTCTGGTCTGGATATGGTTTGTTCCTGTGCTGTAAGCTTGGTCCTGAATGCAACCTATAAAAAGGTGTGGGACCTGTACATGGTGGAACCTAGAGGGAGGTAATCAGGTTGTGCTCACCTGATGAAGGGGGTAATACTTGCCTTACATGACTGGATTAATTATTGAAAGATGGGGTTGGTAAAAAGTGAGGATGCCCCCAGTGCTTGACCTCTCCTGCACATAGCTGTTTCCCTTTCTGATTCTCTTCCATGTTGTGAAATAGCCATGGACTCTCTCTAAACACACAAGGCTATTTAGACTTTCTAGCCATCAGAATTGTGAGACAAATAAATCTATTTTCTTTTCAATTTTCCCAGCTTTGGATATTCTGTTATAGTAACACAAAACCAAATATGATACTCACTCCATAGATATTTATTGAGCACCTCTAGCAAGTTTGTAAGTGCTAAGTATAAAGATGAATGTCAGGGCACTGACTCTTAATAGCCTGATACAGGTGACAAACAACTAAAAGGAGTTAACTTGTAATAAGTGCTACCACATTAGAGTGTACTACTGCCTGTGGGCGAACAGTGGTGACAATGACCAGACAGGAAAAGGAGATGTTGAAGAGGCTTCTTAGAAGTAAAATTTAAAAAAAAAAGTCAGCTACCTGAAGATAAAGGGCATGTCCAGATAACAAGAATTCATGTGTCTGGAGCAGAGTCCAATGCAGAAGGTAATTAGATCGATCAACTGTGGATGAAGGTCCAAATAAGCCATCACACTTGGTTCACTGGGGTTGTAATGGGTCTACCCTCTTTCCCAAGGTGCTCCACTGAGTCCAGTATGCTCACAGCAGCTGAAGTCATAGTTTGTGATAGATGGCTCCTTTTCATCTATCCAGACTCTCAATGTATCCCAGGACTGTCAGGTATCAGTTCTGGGTTCTCCTCTCTTCTCTACCTACTTTATTTCCCTGGAGGAATCCAAACAAACCTCTTTTTTAATATATTAAATAATTTGGATAATTATGTTTTGATGGGCTCCTCCAAAAAGGGTAAGATTCCATTTGTTTTGGATCTTGTTTCTCCTATTCCCTGACTTACACTCAGTATCTGACATAGTGCCTGGTACATATTATGCACTCCATATATTTTTATTGAATGAATGAATGTATATTTAATATGGTGGTAGGATCAATTAAGAAACTTGAAGCAAGGACCTTGGCATTAGACCAGAGACCCTGCACTTACTAGAAGAAAAAAATAGGCCCTCTAACATGTTAGCTTAGGAACCAACTTCAATAAGATTCCTAAAGCATAAGAAGTAAAATCAATAATCAATAAATGGGATGGTATCAAACTGAAAAGCTTCTTCGTGGCAAAAAAAAAAAAAAATCAAGAATGTGAACAGAGATCTTGCAGAATGGGAGAAAATCTTTACCACCACTATGGAAAGCAGTATGGAGATTACTTAGAAAACTTAGAATGGAACCACCATTTGACCCAGTTTTCCTATTCCTTGTTATATACCCAAATGACTTAAAATTAGCATACTACAGTGATGCAGCCACATCAGTATTTATAGCAGGTCAATTCATAATAGCCAAGCTATGGAAATAACCTAGATACCCTTCAATAGATGAATAGATAAAGAAAATGTGTTATATATACGCAATGGAGTATTATTCAGTCATAAAGAAGAATGAAATAATGGCATTTGCCAGTATATGGATGACCTGGAAAATATCATTCTAAGTGAAATAAGCTAATACCTCCCAAAAGCAAAGGCTGAATGTTTTCTCTGTTTTGTGGATGTTAACCTAAAACAAGGGAAGTTGGGGAGGGGAATAATAGAAATCCATTGGATCAAATAAAAGGAAATGAAGGATAGGAAGTAGGAGGGGAAGAGGAAAGACAGCAGAATTAATCAGGCATAATTTCCTAGCCTTGTATTTGAATACATGACAGGGTAAATTTGCACCATGTACAACCATAAGAGTGGGATCCTAAATAGAAAAAGTTGTACTCTATGTATGTATAATTTGCCAAAATACATTCTACTGTCATGTATTACTAAATAAGAATTTTTAAAAAAGCAGGGTGAGGTGGTGCACATCTGTACTCCCAGCTCTTCAGGAGGTGGAGGCAGAAGGATTACAAGTTGTAGGCCAACTTGGGTAACTTAGTGAGATCATGTCTCAAAATAAAAAAATAAAAAGGAGTGAGGATGTAGCTCAGTGACAGAGCATGGCTGAGTTTAATACCCCAAAACCCAAACAAACTCACTTGTAGTTTGTGTAGGGCAATGGGAGAGATTTAGAAAAGTCAAATTTGAAAGATATTTCTGAGGGACAATACGAGGATATTTTAAAAAGAATATAGTAAGAACCTGGTATATACTGGACCAGTGGTTCGCCAACATTAAGTGTATATTACCATCATGCGAAAGGGTTGTTGAAATACAGATTGCAGGACCCAAGAGTCAGTAGGCCTGAGGGGGCCCAAGAATTTAATATTCTTCCAAGTTCTCAGGTGATGTTGATGCTGCAGGCCCCAGGATCATATTTTTTAAAATATTTTTTTAGTTATAGATGAACACACAATATCTTTATTTATTTTTATGTGGTGCTGAGGATCAAACCCAGTGCCTCACATATGTGAGGCAAGTGCTTTACCACTGAGCTACAGCCCCAGTCCCCAGGATCATATATTAAGAAACACAGTGCTAGATTAAAAGATGTAGAAAATATCCCTGGATTTTATTTCTTAAACATCCTGGACTTAAAACAGTTCTTATTACTAGTTCTTAAATGATCTCTTCTATTTGAAGAAAATAGAGACAAACATACTAAGTGAATAAAAATGACAATTTAAATCAGAAACCCCGAGTATCAAAGTTGCCAACTGAAGGCTTTTATCAGCATGAACGTACAAGATGAAAAGGACTTTTACTTTTTATGAACCATAAAATTAGATAATGTGATGATTAATTCTAAACTTTTAATTAGCCAGAATTTTAGAAATGTGCCCCAATTATATCATTTTTGCAGCTCAAAAAGTGTTATCCTCATCAGAAAAGGAATGCCAACACACCTTCTGGGGGCCCTGGCTGAGCTTGCCATGTGGCCACATATAAACTGGCCCTAAAAGCAGTAATTCTCACCTTTTTCTATGTCATCTGTAGCTGCTTTTACATCATTGTGGCAAATTTTAAAAGAGGCCACATAAAGCCTAAAATATTTACTTTCTGGCCTTATATAGAAAAAGGGACCTCAAGGGAGCAAGCTATCAGTTTGCTCCTCATTGTACCTCCAAATGCTAAAAAGTCCAGATTTTATTTCAGCATTTAGATTTTACAAACACTATAAATTCTATGTTGTCTTTACTGTTCCTATTATTTACATAAGCTTGTCAAGTATACAATGCATAGTATCTGTATAACCCTGTAAAATACAGTTATTTTATAAGGAAAACATAGACCATAACTAAAGGGGAGAAATCTTTGTGTAAAAGATATGCTA